AAGAGGAAGAGACTCCCTTCTGTAGGTTAGAGTTTAGGACTTCTCAGCTTCTCAGTTTAAACTGGCTGGCTGGAGAAGCCACTTCCTTTGGGCTCCTTTATTTTGGGGGAAGAGCTCACGGAACTTTGTGAGGTAGGGTCAGACTTCTGTTTAGTCTTTACTCATTTATCTAGATCCAGAACAAAACTCCATCAGCAATGTATCAAGGAGACTGTTCATGAGGTTTCTTTCTTCCCACCTAAAAATGCCCTTTTCACACTTTTAGAAAAGGGCAAGGGGAAAAGAGGTGCTATGGGCTCCTGCAAGGCAGCTATCTTCCTCTGTGCCCACAGCCACAAGAGGGAGATGGAAGAAGAATGCACATGGTTGGTGATACTTGGTGAGTTGTCCAGATCCTGCCCTTCCCCTCCACAGTGCAAGTGGAGGCTGGTTTGACTGTACTTTATAGAAGTCACCCCCAGAATCCTATACCATATTACAGTTACCCCGTGCCAGTCAAGATACCTTGAAGTAGAAGCTAGTGGAAGTCAATCTGTGAATGTGACATGCCCCACATAACCCAGAACTATATAGAAAATTTGCCTAAAATTGGACAGTAAGTGGTGTGACAAAATTAGTATTTGTCAGATGACGAGGGCCACAGTAGGTTCCGGAACCAGTTCCCTTGACCATTTTGAAGCTGAATATAGAAAAGTGAGTTGTCACTTTTCTATATTTTCTAGATTTTCTTTGGAAGTTGTAAAAGGAAGAATATACGATTAGGGAAGTTGAGTCCCCAGTGTCCTATGGGTTAGATATTAGAGCTGTGTTGACATTTCTCTTCTTTCTTCTCCACAGACCCTGATGAGAAATGAAGGAGAATGAGTCCGGGCAGGTGGAAGCTGGATCTCGTGGAGACAGGAGAGGTGGGAGATGGGCATGTGGCAAACCCAGACCTCTAGGTGGTTCTCTTTTGGTGTTGCATTCCCTTTTTCCCTGCAAGACATGTGGGCATCCTTCTTCTGTCCTTTCCTTTTCCCTTGACCACCCCAGGAATGCCTGGAGTACTTGTCCACTCCTGGGAACACAGAAGGGTATGTGGCAGGTCTGAGTAAAGGCCAGCAGAGACAAGAAAGGACAAGCCAAGAAATGTGTGCTCCGGGAGGGCTGGTTGTCCTCAAGTCTTGAATTTGGGAGTCAGTGAAACAAGAAGAGCTTGATCTCTAATTAGACTATGAATGTCCTTCATTTATTCAGTTTATTAGGGCAAATGTGAAACAAAAGTGCAGTTCCAGGTTGGGGGCCAAGTGGATCCTGCAGAGTTACAGATAGTTACTGGGGTGGGGGCCTTTCAAACAGAGACAGGCTCCGAGGAGGGAGGTGGTTTTGGCAATGCCTGACACGGGTAGGGAAAGGCACTGGGGAAGAGGGGCTTCAAAAAGGCTTGGATGTGAGTGGCAGGGTGAAGTGGGGCCCAAAGGGCCTTTTGCACCCTGGACAGTCTCACTGTGGGCCCTGCTGCCACCTCATGGGGATCTGGCTCCACCTACAAATCGTAGTAATGATCGTCACACACATATGCACCAGGTGTCACCTTGCTGAATTTTCAGAACTATGAATTAAGGTGGGTGTTAGTGTCCCCATTTTACAGATGAGAAAACAGAAACCCAAAAAGGTCCAAAATGTTGCCTGAAGTCATACAGTGTCAGTGGTGGAGCCAGACAGGATTCTCTTTGAAGTCTGATTCAAAATCCCACTTGCTAAGTGTTAGGTTCTGGACCTAGTGTGAATTGCTGAATTATTACAGTGATCATCTAACATGGCTAAAGCCCTTAAAACAACAGCTTATCTTCCCAGAGACCACTTTTTCTGTCTTCTCCAACCCAGTCTGAGATACAGTTTCCTCCCACCTTTCCTGAGCACACAGGAGAGTGCCCATCAGCTCCTTAGGGAGCTGATCCTCAAACTCCACCCGTAGCAAAAGTTCATAGAAGTCTTAGCTTTCTTTGTTTCAGATCAGAGGACCCCCCACCATCTTCCTTCGTGTTCTCTCCATGTCTTTAGAGTTAATAAAGGCCTCTATTATCTTTCCTATCTCTTTACTGCACCCCCAAAAAGCCTTACACTAAGCACTACCACTAGGTTGCTGTGTGTGCTGGGGTATGAGGTACAGAGAACACAGAGAAGATGGCTTTTTGACCCAGAAACTCCTCCTTTTCCTGCTGTCACTGCACACTGCCTGCTGTGGCTGGGTGAGATCCAGAGAGTACTAGAAGACAGGATATTCAGTATTTGGAGGCCCCCTGTGGGGCATCCAGAAGCTGGGGTGCAGGAAAAGTGTCTTGGGAGCAACCTTGGACTCACTGGCTCTCCCCGGAGGAAGCTGATGGACACTGGAGGATGTTGGCCATTGAGATGGGAGTAAGGTAGAAGACAAAGATGTGGGAGGGGAGGCAGGAGAGGTTCCTAGGCCAGGGGCTGAAGCTCTGGAGAGTGGCCACTTCCTTTCTAGCTGCCAAGGGGCTCCTGGTTATGCTCCTTGCTGCTGTGTTGTCCTGGGAGTCCCCTTAGATGATCATAGTTTGGAGATCTTCCCTTGGAAATAGCGCCTCTTGAGCACCACTTGGAAACTTGAATGTAGAAAACTAGGTGTAAAGTTCTGATGAAAAGAGTGTATCCTTTGTAATGGTTGATACATTGTGTCAACTTGAGAAATTTAGTCTAAACAACTCAGCAGGGAGCCAGGATCCTTACTTTGGAAACATTCTGAGCTTGTGGAAGAGGAGGGCACAGAGATGGTGTCAGCCGGCAGCCTGCACACAATACAAGGGAGGAAAAGGAGCCCCACCCCCTCCCCCCTTTTGCTCTTGTTGCCTTTGTGGTCTTCTGCTGCCTTCAAGTGTTGGCCCTGTGCCATGCCACCACCCTGCCTTGGAGTCACCTGATTATGGACTGAAACTTATACTAACATGAGCTAAATAAACCTTTTCTCTCTTAATTTTTTATGTCAGGTATTTTGTCTCAGAAACTAGAGAAAAGTAACTAAGACAATCCTTGAAGTATGCTGACACCCAGAGGCAGAGTGACAAGGAGAGGTCTGAAGACTTGAGATGGTATGATGCAGCTTACTGGGGACTAGAGCTGTGTTGGCCAGAGAGGTCATTGATATTAGGGTGATGGGCTTGTGATCTTGACCATTGCTTTCTCCTCTCTATCCCTCCCTAGTGGGCCTGAACAGGGCAGGAGCCTGAGACTATCGCGGAGGGATGTCAAGGTCTATCAGGGAGAGCCGCTGGGTTAGGGCTGTGGCCTCACCACCAAACCCATATGCCAGGGGCAGCCTGGCCCCTCCAGGGTGCCAGGTTGAAGAGTAGACGTATGTGGGGAGGGGAGTGTTGGCTGCTTTGCTTGGGTAGAAGAGGTAGCGTGAAGCTGGGGGGGCACTTCAGGCTGAGATTTGCCTCAGGGCCTGGCTTCTGTTCCCAGAGGAGAGCTGTGGTAATAGAGCTGCAGGCAATTGCTCCCAGAGCTGAGAGTGAAGCAGTGCTCCCACTGGTACTAGGCAAGGTTTGCCACAGGGCCAGAGGCCTGCCTACTGCCTGCTGTGCGTGTACACACACACTTTCCTTTTACCTTTGAGTTTTATTGTCTACACAGAAGGCTGCCGAGCCCCACTCCATACTGCTGCTGTCCTGCTGTCTGTGCCCAACATGTCCCCTTCTATCCCTTCCAACACAACACAGAGCTGGCTCAGGTTTCTGAGGGCCAGTAACTTGCCTCCAAGTGTACAAGAGGAGAAGCCCCAAGCCTCGAAGGTGAGGGGGCTGGGCAAGAGTAAAAGCCTGTGTTGCTCCCTAAGTAGCTTACATTGTGGGTAGAACCATTTCAATTTTGGGACAACTGGTACTACACTTCAGTCCCCTCTCCCAAAAAACGGTGAATCCTCTCAGAATGAGAACTCACACTAGGCAATGGAGGATATCCTGCAATAAGGTAAGGGGTTTGTTAATGTAAGCAAGAGAGGGTAAGAGATATGTGCATTTGGGAATTAAAAGTAGACATTCTGGGTATTGAAATGGAGCGTCCATTCTTAAATGCATGCCCAGCTACCCTGTGCCCAGGTAAAGAACAGGACCCCATGAGGTTTCTATTTCAAATTTCTCATTTATTTTAACATTCACTTGGTTGTGACTCCCAAATTATCAAAGATGCAAGACAAGAAATCTGTAGCAGCAGTAGTGACATGGAGGTGGAAAAAGATAGTAGAGGGGATTGGGCATTCCCAGCCACACCTCCTCCTCTTCCTGTTTATAGAGTTCAGTTTAAAGGGTGTACAAATAGTGTCCCATAGTGCAGTCTCCACAGCTAAAAGGATAATGTAGTTGGGTAGGGTGAGCTCCCTCTTTACAGAGCAGGCCCTCACAGCTACAGTGAGACCAGCAGACCATCTTGGGCCTGGGTGGGAGCCTGTGCACTGAGCAGTGAGGGCTACGTGGCAAAGAACTGTGGCCTACCTCTAACACATTGGACCCAGAGTCTGACTGTTAGTAGTAATTAAGCTGGAGAAACAATTGGAGACACTATAGCATGGGATGCTTTGTACTCTGGGACCCCCAAGCAGGTGATAGTCCTGATTTTTCCCAATGCAGAAGAGAGGATGATGGTGGTATTATTCTTGGTGAGGGAGGCCTTGGACTGGCTGGTGGACTGGCTGTGGAATTGCATGGGGACAAGGCACTGGGCTGGTTGTCAGGAAGTGGGAGGGAAGGCTGTCAAGTCCAGCAACTCATTAAGGAGTTGCACATGGACAAGGAGGGGCTGGCAGTGGGATGGGTGGGTTAAAGCTGCTTCCTAACTTGCTCCTCAGTACTGGGAGACAGATCTCACTAGCCCACTTAAAGCTCCTTCCTGGTGCAAGATCAGTGCTACATTTGAGGGCACTCAGTAGGGGTTCAGACAAACATGCTGCTCTTCACTAGCAATTAAAATGATTTTGCCTTAAAATCCCATGGGTGTTTTGGTTTTTTGCAGTCTTTCATTACTCAGCAAACATGCATGTGCGCAAGATCAGACACCTGGGAGGACCAGCACCTGCCAGGGTGGGGGCAAGAGGCAATGGCATGGCTGGCAGATCCTTTCTGTAGATCCTCACTTCATGAAGGACTGAAGACCCTTGGAGTCCATCAGGATAAACCTCTTTTCCCTGGAGAAAGTGAAGTCTCAGAGAAGATAAGGGACTGGTCCTAGAGCTGATGAGTGACCAAAATGTGTCCAGAGCTCAGGTCTTCTGCTTCTCAACTCACTGCCCATTAATTCCAGATCCAAACTGGGTGATGCAAAAGGGGAGAATTTCCTTCTCTGTCCCACCACCTCGGCTACTTTCTACTCTTTGTTAAATGCAAACAGAGATTTTGGCAGAAAGCTCAGCCCCTTCCTTCCCTGTGCCATCCTCTGCATTTAGTGACTCAGTGGGGTTAGATACACCCTCGAAGGAGGGGAAGCAGTCATATTTTACTGTAATTGCATCTGAACACTCACCAAGCATACTTATGTAAAAATCTTAAGACCACTGCTGGGTTCTAAGCAGAAATTGAGACTAGAGTAAGAGAACAATAAAGAGTCCATCACTGGAGATGGGGGAGGGCAGTGGCCAAGGGAAAGCAGAGACATGAAATCTACCCTCTAAGACACATCTGATCCTTGGGATCCCCTTCCCCTGTGCTTAGGAACAAGGGCTGTTGGTCCCAGTGTGGTGAAGTGGGTTCGGCTCCATAGTCACAGGTGGGTGCTTAAGTAGAGCACCAGTCTCTACAGGAGCTTCTTTGGGCAGGTGCACCACTGTAGTACTGCCCACACAGATGCCAGGCTCTTCCTGTACCAGCTGGATGGTTGTCATGGGGATCTGCCACCTTAATCAGCTTTTATTCTTACTGCTTGAAGGTCAGATTTTTCTTTCTAGTTGGTTCCCTGGGAGCCTTCCACTCTCTGCAGCTTCTGAAAATGGCAAAGGCCTGTGATTGGCTTATGTGTATGTGTGCATGCCTGGGAATGGGAGAGCACTAATAAAATGGACCAGGGCCTGAGACAATCAGCAAGTAGTTACGCTTCTGCAACTCTTGTAACAAAACTTGAAAAAGCTTCTCCAGTGGGGGACAGCTGATTTCTAAGTAAGGGAAGAAAAGGATTTAGAGGAGACAAGTTTAGACGGATGCTATTTGATACGTCCCCACTAACAACCATATACACGGCCTGTTAAAAGTCAACTTAAAAAAAAAAAAACCTAAAGTCTACTTGATATGTTCCATGAGGAGGGAGCAGGTGCAGATGTGATGTGTTTAGTAATCAGCGTCCCTACTGGAGTAGCCACAGTGACAATACTGATAACCAAAGTAAAAAACTAAATAGTAAATTAGCTCTTGGACATGTTTTAGCAAGCGAGCAAGTCCCAAGGACTTCACCTCTCACATACCTTCACTTCACAAATTCTAGAACATGTAGCCCTCACTTTTCTCTTAGCCCTTTGTCCCCTTTTCTTCTAAGCATGGCCATTTCATCTCCCAAGGACTTTGGAAGTCTCTGGAGCCTTTGCTTAGCTTTTCCTAGTGCATATTTTCATAACCCTGCAACGCCAGGGGTTTGGACTTCCTGGGAGTGGTTGTGGTGGCACTAGGGCTTGTTGGGAGGAAGTCCCAACAGAGAAACTGGTCAAGTTACAAAATCAGTCAGTAAATCAGCCTCCACACTCTGGGCTCTGTGATGGAGCCAGCCCCAACCCTGGTTCTCCATGCATTCAACAGCTCAAATTCTGGTGACTCTTCTTCTATGGAGCAAGAAAAGCCAAATAAACTGAGTTAGTCCTTGTGGGGCTGTTTCAGGTCATCCGTTGTCCCCATGGCTTCTGCGGGGGCAGTAGTATTGGTGTGTGCAGGTCAGGGGGGTGCAATGGTTACACATCTGTACTAATAGCCCTTGGATTGGTGAAGGCCTCACGTCCAGAGCCTGGCCAAGTCACCGGGTAACTCTGGGGCACTGCCAGTTTGAGGGAGGGAGGTCCCCCTTCTTTGTAGTATGTGGGAGCAAAGGAGAGCCTCTCGCCTCCACCCCCATTGGGCACCATGTCAGCTGTCCGTATGTAAAAAGGGGAACTGTATGGAGAACAAGTGGTACAGTGGCTCCCTGCTGCCCCACATGGCTGACTACAGGGCTCACTGGTGAGAGGCACCAGGCTGCCTCTGCCGTCCAGGGCTTGAGAAGTGCAGGCATTGCAGGTGGGGCCTCTGGGGTGGACGGCAAGATTGTGCTCCTCCTCTTCCTCCTCCTCCTCCTGATCTGCATCCTCAGTGCTCTTCTTGCAGCAGTAGTACTAGGGAGAGGAGACAAGGAAACTGAGTCTGCGTGTGCGCCCCTGCCCCTGGCCCCAGTGTACTTCTGAGTTTCACAGGTACAGGCATCCAGACCTTTGGTCCACTGATTATCTTGTGCTGGACTCTTTGTTGGTGCTGGAGATAAAACTAAACACCAGAGGCCTAAGTTCCCCAAGCACAGGTGCCGTGTGTTGCAAAGCCAATACCTGAGCTTTTCTTAACTTCCTGTTTCTCAGTGAACTAACTCCAGGCTATGCCTGAGGGAGACCGGGAGGCAGACCATGAACTTCATATTGAAAACAGAGCTGGGGGCTGCTGGAAGCAACTTTCAGTGTGTTCCCAAAGTGGTGGCTTTCCCACCACTCTTAAAACCTCAGAGGTGAGCACAAGGCCCAGTATCTTCTAAGTGTGTGTCCCAAAGTTACAGAGTGAACAGGAGATCCATAGCCCTTCTGACCTGCATCAGCTCCTTGACCTAAACCTAGCACCTCCTGTGGCCTCGGGCTGTGTGGGGCCCAAGGTGAATTCCTAGTTCCGCCCCTGAAATGTGGAAGTGGTTTGCTGGTTGCCTGCTGCAGGCCTAGGGAACTGACCTGGAGCCTGCAGTAGCACAGGACAGCGATGATACAGAGGAGGATCACAGTCGCTAGGATTCCACCAGTGATCACAACTGTTCCCGCTGTCATCCGCCCGATGCCCCATCAAACTCTGCAAGGATGTGTGTGGAGAAACAAGAAGCAGTCAGTCATGAGGAACTCTCAGTGCAGTTGGAGCAGAGGGACCTGAGAGGAACAGGAGCTGGGAGGGCCCTGACCCCCGGGTGCTTGCTGAAGATTAGGACTGGCTGGGGCTGGGCATGGCCAACCTAAGCAGGATGGAGTTGTATAAAGCTGCCAGAGGGAAGAAAGGAGAAGGAAAGCTGATTCTTGCTGTTTCTATCCAGTGTCAAAGGTTCCTATTGATTTCTTCCTTTAGTCCTCTCCTCACCCTTTCCCAGTTACAGGACACAGGACCCAAAACTCACAGCATCATGACTGCTGGACGGCTACAGCTACATTAGGGATACTGGTTCTGGCAGATAGGGCTGAAAAAATAGGACAGAAGCAAGCTCTGGGAGTGAGGCTATCCAGGTTAGTGAATGAGGATTTCTGAGGCTCTCAGGCACATGAAGATTGAGGGAAAAGAGACAGGGGACTTGGCATCTTTAGGATGGAAGAATGACTGTGAGTACTTATGTTCAGTAAGGGGAACAGTGACCTAGAAGACAGATACAAAGGTTCTAGGAGGAGAGCATTACCTAATAAACAAAGCTTTCGGGGTTAGCTTATTCCTTAGTCTCCAGCCCGCTCCCATCTAGCGTTCCTCATCAATATGCCTACTGGCTCTGAATCCAAGCCTCCAGCTATGTCCTCAAGTGCTCATGGATGGATATCTCAGTTGGATGTCGGTCACACTGTCACTTCAAAGCCAATTAAGGTAGGCTCAAGGCATCACTCTGCTCTCTAGTTAGGCATCCCACCTCGGAGCTGTCTTGTGGTTCTAATGAGCTGCCCTGCAGTGTTGACATGCTGTTCGTTCCTCGAAGGGCAAGAGGGAGCTCGAACCCAGCTTTAGCCTACTCACCAAGTTGTGCACCCTGTGTGTTCACCTGGTGGAAGGGGCACATTTTCCTTCACCCACAGACGCCACCTGCCCATCACTGCTCCTAGAGGGCTCCACCTGCCCAGTGGTGCTAATCCTAGTTCATGCAAAGGTGCTTTGCAGCTATGTGCTCTGTGGACCAGTAACACTAGCATCCCGTAGGTCTGCTAGAAACATGCCATTTCAGGTCCTACCACTAGCCTGAGTCAGAGACTGAATTTAAGAAGGTCTCAGGTTACTCATTTTCACATTAGCTTAACATCACAGGATGTACCCCTAGGTGCTCAGATTTTTACATCTGCAAATCCTTTTCTGTCTTCTACCAGTGTTCTTTTCCTATGCCCGTTAAAAGACTGCATCCCAAGGCTGCACTGGTGCATTGCCTTCCTCACTAAACTACTGGTTTTGTATCTGAGCAACATTCCCTCCATCAAAGTTTGGCTTTTTACATAACATGTCCACATGCCTCTCTATGCTCCAGATAATTCTCCCCAGATAATTCATGTAGCATACATTCATGTAGACACCACTTTCAGACACAGCTCTGAAGACTTGACCCTCCTTATTCCCTTGGCATGGCTGCTACCAATTTATCTTTCTCTCTTCATCTTTTGTTGTCTCCTAAGTAAAGCTTCTTTTTCAAGTCTTAAGAAGCTTACAGCTTAGTGACGAAAAGGCACTTGGCGTCCAATTGACAGTGTAGGACATGCAACCACAGTACAGACCAGGGGTAGGGGGACATTTAATAGGGGCAACTAATTACTGGGAGATGTTCCATAGAAGGTATCCTATTTGAGCCAAATCCTACCGCCTAAGTAGGAGATGAAGTGGGGAGGGCTTGTGGGTAGGCAGGTTTCTCAGACTGGTAGGAATCTGGAAATGCTGGGACAGGTCAGGGATTCACATGAAGCTGGAGAAGCTAATAGGCAAGACAGGGAATTGGATTTAACTCTTTGGAAGATGGGAGTTCCTGAGGGGCATTCCATAGGAGAGAACATGATCTTTCTCTCTCCATCAGTTCATGTCCAACTCATCCCTAAAGACCTGAGAAGCCTCCACTGATTGCCATCCCAGATGTTCTCTCCCAGTTCTGACTCTGTAATGCCTTTTCATGTTCTACTCTTCCAATCCTGGTTTAGTGGGGTCCTAGTAAACTTCATGTGTGGATATCTTTGGCTCCACTAACTGACAAATCTTTTGAAGACAGGAGTTTTGTCTTGTACTCTTTTCTTGCTCCCCTAGCAGCATTATATACTGTGCCCTGACACTCAGGAGACTCTTAAAAGTTGGATAATCATTTCACTAGGCAGCATGTCACAACTTGGCAGTTATGACTCTGACCACGAGGGGGCAGCAAATCGTACCTCTCAGCCTCAATCCAGTCTGCAAATTCAACTACGCATTTCTGTGAAGACAAGTTTGACGGCACAGATGCATGATAGGTCATGCTTTGGGGTTCCCTGGGGCATCCAGTGGGAGGAAAATGAATCTCAGGTGAGCAAGGCTTTATGTAACTTCATTCCAACACCGCTTCATCCTCTCCCACTTCCCTATGAGATCACCTCTGGGGGCTGCTAGGGTTGCAGGGTGGCCTGTGGCATGACCTGCAGCTGGGGAGGCAGCAGTGGGCTGTCCGATGCCTCTGGGATGTGCCCAGACTGTTTTAACTTTTATTATTTTATTTTAAGGTTGGAAGGTACTGTATATACATACATCAGTGCAGATGTAATTTACTGGGCAAGTAGGCAAACATGTCAGCAGTGTATTCAACCCCCTCTAGCAAAGCACAACCAAATTTCAAAATTTAAATTTTAAAATTAAAAAGATAATATTAAATATACAAGGTCAGGGGCCGGGGAGATGGCATAGTGGAATAAGCGCTTCCCTGGCAAGAGCAAAGGCCTGAGTTCAATCCACAGTTCCGCAAACAAACAAAAATCCACAAGGTCAACTGAGGCATATATTCACCTTCAGATCACGCTAAAGACGTTTTATTTCGTTCTTGTGCATGGAGGGTTCTTTCCCTCAAGGTAATATAAGGAGTTCACCAACTGTTAATTGGTCCGCATTTTGCAACAAAATAGCAATTTTAAATTGTTAGAAAAAAATGCATTACCTTCCACATGGAAACTCTTACTATTAAATATCTATGAAGTAAACAGACTGGTTTGCATATCCTTTTTTGGAATATAGCAAGTAATGTATATTGGAAGAATTTCACACATATTTATAGAATGGTCTATATTATAAAACATAAATTATATAACAACCATGTTCAATCCTAGGCTAATTTATAATGCCAGAAAAAAGGTAACGTGACATGGTTTAAAACTTTTATTTTCCTATTCTCTTCAGGTTACAGAGTAAAAAAGTAAAATATCTTCATAGGGCTGGGGAGCACTGCTCATGGAAAAAGGAATACATTAGAATTGACCAAAGGGAACTAAGTCCAGGCTACTGTTCCATTAGGCTATGAACAAACATCTTTGTACATTTGAGCATTAAGTAGACGTGCACGACCTTCCATGTTGATACCAGAATATCAAAGCTACTCCTCCATTTCTCGCAGGCTGTTTTAAAGGACAAAGAGTTACTGAGAAACCATTTAAACACCCCTGCTTCTTCCCTGCCTTCTGTGCCAACCCGCCTTGTTTCAGTCCCCCAGTGGCCTGGCAGGGGGTGGTGTGGCCTTGCGGAGGGCGAAAGGTTCAAGCTCAGCTGTGCTACTCCATGGTGGCCCCATCTTGGAAACTGTCCTTCTGCTCTTCTAAAACTGATGTCAACAAAAAAGTGAGTTTGCAAATGTGATTGTGAGGAAAAACATGTATGAGAGAGTGCCTCTTAAGGCTGGTTTTATGATCATAAGCCAGGAAAGCGCTCATAAAATATCTTTTTCTGAGGGCTCAGTACTAATAACATTTCAATTTTCACACTCAGGGACTCACTATTATTTCAGGTGGCTAATTTCCTTTTTGTGATTAGATGCAAATGAATGACAGTAACTTCCTAAACCTGAACAGCATCTTACAGCTTACAAAGTCTTTCCAATTATTTTTCTACCTGTGGTAGGCAGGCTTTAATTAGGATGGGTCCCTGGGTCCCCACTCTCTGGCAGTTATCCCCTGTATACTCCTCCATCTACTTCTTTTTTAATATATGTGTTTGGTACAGGTCTCATTATGCAGCTCAGACTCGCAGTGATCTTCCTGTTTTCAGCCTCCCCAGCGCTGGGATCACAGGTATGCGCCACCACGCCCAGTCTCAGTGCCCAGCTCAGCATGCCCTCAGGGTGTGGCCAGCATGGCATGTGGTACTGGGGAAGGAATCCTGGTCCCTGTGCTTGCCTATGCAGGCAATTAGTGCGCTGAGCTTTCTCACTGGCCCTACTCTTTTCTTCTTGAGTGTGTGACCTGTGCATATATTCTAACTGGTAGAACACAACACAAGTCATGGGAGGTAACTTCTGTGAACAGATACAAGACTCTGCATTCCCCCTCACTAGTCAGCTCTTCTCTTATTGGCTTTAATGCAGCAGGCTGTCACATCGTAGAGCCTCTGTGACCAGGAATTGAGACTGGCCTCTGGCCAGTCGCCAGCTAGGAACAGAGGTCCTCAGATCAATGACTCAGAAAGATTTGAACAATAGCGTAAATAGTGTGAAAGCAAATCTATTTCTCATCCATCTAATTGAGTTTTCTGATGAAATTGCATCCTTAGTCCAAACCGTGTAGTCCATGACAGACCCCGAAGCAGTGGACTCTGCTCCCCGTTCTAGGATTCCTGACCCACAGAAACTCTGAGATGATCAGTGTGTATTGTTCAAGCAGCTCAATTTGGTATGCAGCAAGAAGTAAGTAAGACACCCAAACCTTACACAAACCCTGCAACCTAGGGGGTGTGGGGAAGATAGACCATCAAGGGAGCTCCCTAATGTCACAGGAGAGCAAATGTCTGAGTCAGGACCCTGGGGCCAGGACCTGGGAGTTCCTATCATATCTGATGTCTCTTCTTGAGCTTTTTGAGAAGGAGAAAGAGATGCCTGTGTTCCCACCAAGATCCTAGAAGGTCTGGGGCACAATGACTTAATGGTGCCCAACTCAGGGGACTGGGTGGCTCAAGGGGACAAGTCTAATGTGCAGAAAGCAATACTGAGGACATGCTCTCAGGGCCAGGACTTTCTGAAGCTCCCTCCCCACCTTGCTTTTTCCTTACTCTGGGCCCAGACCCCTTCTTCTTGGGGAGAGATGGTTAGGCCCTGCCTTACACTTACGGGAAACAGCTGGAGCAGTGGTGGCTCAGTCACGCAGGCTGCGCCTGAGCAGACAGCAGTTGCGGGTGCATTATGGCCAAGGGCATCAGTCCCTGCCAGAGAAAACAGAGAAAGATCAGCACCAGCTGGATATGGAGGACAGGCTGCAGCTGGAGGAGGCACCAGGTTGTGGCTCCAGAACTCCAGGGTGGACTCCAAAGGACTTCTTTGCTTCTTGTCTTCTCTGGTTGCTGTGGCCTCACAGGCTTCCACTTGAAGAACCTGGCAAGAGACTTATAAAGTCACATCTGATCCCATCTTTGTCTTTTTCCCTCAGCCCTGCTGTTTTGAACACTTGCCTAATGCAGCAGCAGCACTGGGGCCAAGAGCACAGAGGCTCAGTGGAGAGGGGAGCCCCCTTTCCTCTCCACACTCCACTGTTCTCCATGACTGGCCCCATGTATCTCTTTCCCATCCCCTTCTGCATGATCGCTGGGCCTGTTAGTTTCTTGCAGCGCTCAGAGCCATACATGCCTTTATCTGATATCCTGACTTCCTTCAGGCCAAACATGCCCTCTAGATAGATGATTAAGTTCAGGTTGACTTGCTGATAAAAGGGGAGGCAGGATGCCGCAGAGACATCTGGGAAACCAGTGTCAGCTAATTCTGGGGTCTCTTAAATATCCCTTCAATATCCACTGACTTTACTTAGAAGAGACTCTGGGCTGTACATGGGCTTGGGCAGGACACTATGTGATGTAGCATTTGTCCCCAGGTGAACACCCTGTTGTTTGTATTGGGGAGGGAACCCTGTCATTTCCCACACTCACAGAGCCATCTTTTGAAAGAATAGGGCTGAACCCCTTGAGGTTCTCTGCCTCAGTCAAGGCTAGAAGTCAAAGGACAGACATTAGTGTCTCAAGGATTAGGGAGCATCTGAGGCCATCAGGTCTCAAGTGCCGAGCTCAGGAGAGGCTGTGAAGGAAGCAGGTGATCTATCATGTGGTCCTGTCTGAATATTTTACCTTCCTTCTCCATCTAGGCCTTTATCTGTCTCCCTGCCTTGTGTGCTCTGTGTACTCAGGCTTCCTCTTTTCAAAGATGCCGTCACTCTCATTGAAGTGTAGCCCTGTGTGAATGGAGGTTAGAGCAGAGCTCTTCCTGTACCGGTTATGAGATTCCCAAAGTTAGAAGTCAGAAGACTGAAGAGAGTTCACAAAGGTACGTGAAAACTGCACACTTGGAATGTTAAGAACATCTGTTCCCAGGATTTCCCTCCTCCCATAAGATACAGGTGGATCAACAATGTGGCAACCATTTGGTGAGCAAAATCTCCTTGGCAAGAGCATTATTCTTGGGCCGCGGGCTGACTTGAGGCTGTCTGAGTACCATCCAGTGGTATCAATAGTAAGAAAAGGCTGGAGGTGGCCCCCAGATGCCCAGGGGTGGAGTAAAGTGTTACAAGGGATGGTGTGCTTCAGAAGAAAACTTGAGGAGACCCCTCTGCACACACAAACACAAATTCACAAAAGCAAGAGCCAGTTTAAGTTCCTTCAAGATCTCTAATAAGTAAGAAGCCACAATTTCTTTCATTCTTTCTCTTTCTTTCTTTCTTTCTTTTGGTATTTTTAGGAAACGGTCTACAGGATGTTCAGGGTGTCACTATTAGATCAGACTCATAGTGATCTGCCTGTTTACAGCCTCCCAAGAGCTGGGATTACAGGCGCACGCTACCATGCCTAGTCTCAATTGCCATCTCAGTGCTCACCAGGGGAGGGGCTGGCATGGCAGGCCTGGGGATTGAACCCAGGTGCTTTAATCTGCGGAGCTATTTGGCTGGCCCAGGAAGCCACAGTTTCTTCATGGCTAGAAGAGAAACAGCTTTGAAGTCTTGAGGTGGAAGGGAAAAGTAAGGGGAATGCAAACAGTAAAGATTGCGTCTGGGCCACCTCCCAGGCACTTCCAGCCTGTACCAGATCCTATCTGGAGGGAAGAAGAGTAACACTGCCAGATTGGCAGTATATTGATGATTAGCTGTGATTAGAATTCTAATTTCTGAGTTAAAACTGCTTGTATAATTTAACTATAAGAGTAACTATTGGGCCAGGGATTTAGCTCAGTGGCACAGTGCCTACCTGGCCAGTGGAAGGCCCTGAGCTAAACTCCCAGTACACCCACCCCTCAAGAAAGAATAACTCTCATCTAAGAGTAAGTTCAAAACAAAGCAATGTGGCTGACCCAAATTTTTTGTATGGCAGGGGAAGATTTCTCCCACTGAACATTTTGAAATAAAGGGATACTCAGGGGGACAAACAATTATTAAGCACAAACCACACAACATACTTGTTACTTACAGAAAAATGGTCCATGGAAATGTGAGGACTCTAAGATATCTGGCCCAGTACTTTTATTTTCTTATGGAAGATGACAAGGGGCTTGCTTGTCACAGTAACACTTGCTGAAGCAGTGGCAGAGATGGAGCCTGAGAGGCACTGGGAGTGCAGCGTCCTGACTCCAGGGCTATGGTTTCTCCTTCCAGAGGAGTGTAGATAATTCACCAGTGGCTAAGGCATCCACTGAAGTAAAGTGGGCTTGGTGTGAACAATCACCCAAAGCACAAATTGAAAAGCAGAGACTGAAGATCTCCTGAAGCAGCACCTATGTGGTGGGGCTCAGAAATCTGTATGCACCAGGCCTGATCTTTAGCCATCTGGCCCTGTTGGGAAATGACCCCAAAAGGAAGGTCGTTAGGAGGATTTTGGGCTCTGGGCAGCAGGGGTAGTGCTGTAGAATGATGGTGACTTTGTAGAGCCTGTAGCATTATCTGCTGGCCATGACAAGATGAGCTCTGGGTTCCCTGGGGCAAATGAGCCAGAGTTGGGAGGGAGAGAGACATCTGGGAAGACCCTAAGGCACATGAGCCTGGAGTCATTAAAGAGATCAGGATGAGAGGACTGTATAGGTTGTCTTGTAATAGAGACTAGGAAGGGACTTTAAAAGCCACCTTGAGAGAACCTTTCCCACTGTGTTAGGCCAGGAGTTCTCTGTTCTCTCTGGAGGTCTCCAGCTTTCAGAAGCTTCGAATTCTCAACAGTAGAGTCACCTCACCTCACTGACTGGGTAAATGCTGGCAGGTAATGCTGGCCGCAGCCAGTACCAACACATGTAATTAAGGATCACTGCCCCCTGCTCTTTGCTTGGCCCCTTAGGAACACAAGCTAATTGAGTGGAGCCTAAGCACTGGCTGATCTCCAGGTTTTTCCACTGTAAATTAAGCTTTCTCCAATCATTTATTAACTTGTAAAACTGACACACCAGGTTAGCAGCTCCTGAGAAGAGGAATCTTTTTCCTCATTACTTGTTTTCCTGGGCTGCAATTGTCAGCAAGTCTGACAGAGAGTAATAAAGGAAAAGTGTATCTTTACATTGATTTTAATTGTGTCCATTATCAAGCCCTGCCTCCTGGGAGGGGAAGAGTTGGTCACTACAAGTGTCTTCGCCCTAGATGGACATAGTATATGTAGGACACAGGTATGCACTGTTTGAGAAAAGGGCTTCTCTAGGAGGTACAAGGCATTCTTGTGAATTATCAAGAAGGACATCAGTGTAATAATGGGCCATGGGCAGGAGGTTTATAAAAGGGGCTAACAAGAAAATAAAGAGATGGAGAAAGTAGTGAGTAGGATAATCTAGTTTGGTCACCCCACTGATACCAACTTGAACATCTATTCATGCCTTCATAAAGTACCTTCAAAAGAGCTAAGGAAGGGGGTGGGGAGATGGCTTAGTGGAATATGTGCTTGCCTGGCAAGTGTAAGGTCTTGAGTTCAATCCCTGGTGCCACAAAAAAAAAAAAAAAAAAAAAAAAAAAAAGCTAAGAAAATTGGGTGAGAGACCAAGTGCCTATTTTTATTATAACAAAGTGAAAGAAAGTATTGAAGGCAGGAAGGAAAGAGATGCTTTGCCACCCTTCTGCTAGCTCCAAGCTACCAAGATGGAGAGACACCTTCTACTTGGGGAAGGGAAAAAGAATTAAGACCAGGCTTTAGACTTGTGATCCAGTCCCAGGCTCCTACCATTATGAAACTCAGTGCTGGGCAGAGCTCCACAACTCCTACCACCAGGCCAGTACCTGGGCACTGAGTCACTGGAACTGTCAGGCCTTGTGGTTGACAGCCTCTATCACTGTGCTCTAACCTCTGGCGGCAGAGCAGGTAGCAAGACTCTACCTGCTTGGGAGCAGAGCAGGAAAGCTAGCACAGGGCTTTGTCTCGGAGTCCACTGCCGAGCCTAGCATCTAGTAAAAACTAAGAGCCTCAGACACAGGCCAGGGATCACAGATGAAGCCCATGCAACATAGAGGCCTGAGGCAGGTCCTTTCATACTGGCTTCAGCATCACACAGAGACCTGTGTGAACAGATTCCAGCTTATGCAGTGTCATTTACAGTGCTGGAGAGCTTCAAAGCACACTATCCCATCCCCTACAGACTGACCAGTATCCTATGTCAATGACATTCAGGCATGACACAGTGATCTAGCTTAGTTCAAGCTTCAGGACCAAGAGGATGCCTCTACCATCCATCATCCACCTTGGACAACACAGCTATTGCCAGGCCAGTGCTTGCAAATGAAGCTTTAGACCTGCCCCAGTGTCAAGCAAGGACCTGCTCCCTTAGGATGGATGGTTTCAGCCTGCATCACTGCCAGCTGCAACATGGGCCCTGGTACAGGTCCTTGTATTGCAGGCAGCTGAGTTAGATAAAAAATATTATAGGCAGTCAGACAGGGCCCGGCCCTCAAAGGAGACAACACACAAGATGAGATGCCTTACAACTGTGGGAGGGGCGGATGCTCCTGCTGTGAACCAGACCTGAAGACCTAAAGACCAAACAAATGCTAAACGAGTAGCACCTGGGATTGATATTCTAATAGGTATCAATCACCTGGAAAGACCCAAGTGAGTCACTAGCCCAACCCCAACAGAAAGAGACCCTATCCCGCATTCCAACCCCCAACAGGAAAAGACCCTGTCCCATATGTAATCCCATTGGTTGACCATAGTTTTGTCCCACCTCCTGCCCACCTAAGCGAGTTCCCATTCACTCCACCTTA